TAATTAATGACTGGAATACCACAGGATCTGGACGGGATTAATTCCATTAATTAATGACTGGGATACCACAGGATCTGGACGGGATTAATTCCATTAATTAATGATTGGAATACCACAGGATCTGGACGGGATTAATTCCCTAAAATAAGGAAATCCATGTCTCAAGTTTCTTCTCCTCCCAACCTTTGTATACATGATCTTGTCACGTATGCTGTAACTATGCTGGTTAAAAGTCCTGAACCTTTTGTAACAGTTCAGTTGCAGTTTGATGATTCGCAAAATTGGGGGCGCCTAAATATGTCCCCTGGGAGGGATAATTTTTTAGGACTTTCTGAGACAAAGATCTCCTTTCTATAGTGCTCTATTGTATAGTGATTTCCCGTTCAGAATGGTATCCGCAAACAAGTGAAGCAATGAAGGTACTGAACACGATATACAACTAAAGCAATTTTTGTTTAGTTAAAAAAACAAAAAAAAACAAAGTAGATGAGTAGTTGACTGCTATTCCCAGACTGAGAGAGCATAACATTATATACAAAATAAACACAACTTGCGTCACTGTTGGTTATTACAATAAAAAATAAGGACGCCACCTCAAGGTATCACCTGACATTCCAGCGGAAAATGTATCTTTCATCTTTAAGATAACGTGTTCTAATATACAACAATCTTTCACCCGAAAAAGTGCGTGTGATACCCAAAACAGTAGGTAACTAAAGGCTGAGTAATTTAGTCACCTTTTATAAACAAAATTGTACTGTTGAAATGTACACACACACAGAGCTAGACACGTGAATGTACAGAAAGTTTGAATACCACATATCGTCGCATATCGATAGTCCCACACATGCGAAACACTTGCACATTCAGACATGAAAAACACCAAAATCTTTAGCAAAGGCAATAATGATAGCAAATATAAAAGTAAACCCTTTATCATAGGTGTTTCTTGTCACAAACAAGTTATTATGGACTTTGAACGAGACCTATTTACGGGTCTATATCTATTTATTACACTGATCAATATCTATGACATTGCGCAAATATTTTGCGCATGCGTGTAAGCAATTAAAAACACGAGGTCAGCATTCCTTAAAACCAACGAAAAATACTTGACGTCCTTTCGATTGAATTGCGACAAAATTTAGCAAAAATCACACGTGTATTTTACTTCTTATTGTCTAAACACTTGCAAATAAATGAAACACCGTGCGACACATTGTGACAAAGTATAAATCCTGACTGATATATGGGTCCGTGACCTCATTTTGACATCTAACGTATTCAACACGAAAGGTCATAGCGATATTTATGACGAAATGTGTTTATCCTGGCAAAATGCCAAGATTCTCTTAATTTTATGTAAATAAGTGGTTCAATGTTTCATCTTGTTCGTTTTGGACCAGTGCAATTAAATTATTAGAAATACCAAACATTGTTTCATTCAGATGGTAAGATAGGTTGCGTGATGAAACTAGTGACGTCATGCTGCTGTCCAGATGTCTCGCCCTCATATGCACATCTAAGTTAATCCATCGTGATCTCGTTTGTTGTTGACATCTCATCGTTACTGATTCCACCTTTTACACCACCTGGCGGTTTGGAAGCTTCAGTACAAGTGGAACTTTTCATACTCTCGAACCTGTGAACGTTGTAGTAGTTGTCATCAAAGGAAATGTACGGGGGGGGGGGGGGATGTTAGCATTTCAAAACTCTCTATTGATTTAAACTTGGGGTTATTATGACATAGTTATTTATTTACAATTACTTGTAAATCTTGCTTACGAAGAAAAAAATCTTAATAAATATTATCTGAAGTTTTCAGCTAACAAAAAGAATGTGTAGTTTGTCTCTTGTGACTAATCTTCTTCTTGTTGAAGGTGCCAAACCAGAAGAAATAGCCGTCATGAACGGATTGAGTGTTAATCTACATATCTTATTGGTGAGAGTCATTGTTGATAAATATTTGAATAACATTAATATTTGGAGATAAAACCGTAGAGCTTAACAACTGTAGACTGATCTTTTTTATTTATTTTTCTAGAGGGAAGCTTTCAAAGTCTGAAGGATTTTTATAAAATCTTCCAAAAACAAATTATTAACTTGTCTGTTAGATAACCCCCACACCAAAGTATTAGCTAGTCTGTTAGATAACCCCCAAACCAAAGTATTAGCTAGTCTGTTAGATAACCCACAAACCAAAGTATTAGCTTGTCTGTTAGATAACCCCCAAACCAAAGTATTAGCTAGTCTGTGACTAGCTAATACTTTGGTTTGGAGGTTATCTAACAGACTAGCTAATACTTTGGTTTGGGGGTTATCTAACAGACTAGCTAATACTTTGGTTTGGAGGTTATCTCTGTTAGATAACCCCCAAACCAAAGCACATTATGTAGCTTTGTGCTTTACTACAAAAGGCCTTAAAACGTGTCACATTGAGCTCATAGATTAGTTATTTGTCAGTGGATTTCAGTTATATTTAAATAAATGTTATAGCATTGTTTGTTCTCTGAAGTACATTCATACAAGAAATGTAACCGCAGATTTTTGTGAATTTAAGACTATTTTTTAACCTTGTTTAACTACAAAGCTGAAAACAAACTGTGTGTGTGTGTGAATAAAGAAGGTTAGGCTTAGAATTATAGCATGTTTGTGTGTGTGTGTGTATGTGTGGATAAAGAAGGTTAGGCTTAGAATTATACCATGGAGGGTGTTTGTTTTTTTAAATCTTATTTTGCGAGAGACCTTTTATTATGTTGGACAACCTTTAAACACACACAGAGCTTTTACTTATTAACAGTAAAATGATTTGAAACTGAATGGTTATGATAAATTTAGCACTGACCTATGGGGAATGTTATCGATAATGAACCTATTAATAAACATTACACAAGGCTATATCCTAACCCTAATAATAACAATATTATTCAAATATATAATTTTACTGTAATTATTTTTAAATAAAATAATTATGGCAATTTTTCAGACATCGTTTTATAAACCGACCCCTGACAGACATAAGATCGTTATCGAAGAATATGCATTTCCTTCAGACATGGTAAGGATCGTCAAAATATCATGCTTAGAACTTTTCTCTCTAAAATTTATTTAAAACTTACCTTTATTCAGGATGTTACATGCTAGTAACAATTACATTTAACTACTTCAGATCCTACACACACAGAGAGGGAGTTTGTAAGTCGTTCAGTAACATCCTAACGGTAAATGTCACGATTTTTATTGTTGATATTGCAATAGGGCAGTCAACATTGTATTTTTAATAAGGTACAGTCAACATTACATTTTTTACGATATGGATCGTGAGTATTTTTCAATTATTAATCATTTTGAAATATATTGGAGCCGAAAGAATTAAATAATTTTAAGTCTTATAAAAACTATTGTATTGAGTCAACTTTTTTTAAAATCTGATAATGTTTCTTCTTGTTCTCCAACTTTCACAAATTTAATTTCTGCTCGAGTTAGTTCTTTTTAACGTAAATGGTGGAATAATGAAGAAAATAAAACAGCAGACGTTAATCCATACATAGAAACAAAAAGTAATTAAAATTATCCGCTCTAGGGTAGTAATTAGGGCAATATAACGCACGTGAAGTTAAAGTAGAGCATGGTAAGAGGCGTACTCGTAAACAGTTAATAACATTTTTGTTTTGAGAGACAGGTAATCGGAATTGGTCGCTGTTGGCTCAATGTGGCTTTATGGTTAGCGCGCCTAAACTGTGAATCCAAGGATTCATGGTTCTTATCTAAGTTCTGTAAAAATGCATTCTGCACATTTGGGTCGTGGATGTGCTATAAGAGTAACAGTCAATTCCCACTGTTCAATAGGAATGGACCAAAAGAGGGCGTTGTTGACGAACTACCCTTCTTCGTGCTAGTTTACAATTAAGGAGGCCCATATTTGTAGTTTCAATCTTAAATCCAAGATTCGAGTCCCGTTGCCACAGGCAAGAGTAGGTTAAGAATTGCCAGTTCGTGCTGTTGGTTAGCTGCCGACCCGCTAGTCTATCAGCTCAAAATTTTGTGCGAAAACTTTATAAACTATCAAATCAAACTTAAGATGTGCTATTCAGAATCTTGGTAATATAATATTTTTAGCGAAAAGTGAAATTCTGATGTAAAATTACGTAATGACATGAACATCCTTCTTCTCTAAAAAAGTTTTTTTTTTGTTATTTTCAGTATGCTGTGAAGTCGCAAATTTCGTTGCACAAATACTCTGTTGACGAGAGTTTAATTACTGTCCACCCAAGAGAAGTAAGGACATTTTTAAACCTACATTAATTCGGTTCGCTCAAGTTTAATGGATGTTAAGCGATAAGATAATATCTAGGATATGGATATTAAGTTTCTAACCCTTAACTTGCACTTAAGCCTAATTGAAGTCAACCTAGAATACAAGATAACCAATCCTAATGATAAACGTTAAGTAAAAAAAAGTAAAAAGTTTTGAATTAAGCGTTTTGAAATCTTTGGGTTAACGTTTCTTATGACGCCCCCCTAACAAATGTAAATAAAATCTGTTACCTAAAAATATTGATTCAAGTTTTTGTTTTAACATCTAATAATGTTAATCCATACCTAGAAACAAAAATAAAATTCTCTGTTCCAGGGAAGTAGTTAGGCTAATAAAACGCGTATATTTAAGCAGAGTGTGGTAAAAGGCTTACTCATACACAGTGTTAAAAGCTCGTAACGGGTATTGAATGATGCATTTTCCTCAGGGTGAGAATCTTCTAAAACAAGAGGACATCCTCTCCGTCATCGAGGATCATGGTGAATCTATTGCTCTTATCCTGCTACCAGGAATCCAGTATTATACAGGACAGTTAATTGACACCGAGAACCTAGTCCGTGCTGGCCATCAGAAGGTATGACTTTACCTGATAATTGTAGTAACAGAATTAGCATACAATATAATATAAACTTTTCAGACTTTAAAATATAAAATCATGTACACGGAACAATAGTGAATGTTAGGCTTAGCAAAAAAAAAACCAGACAATTTCGTTTTCCATTTTTTAAATATAGATTTACTTGATCACTTGCCTTGTTCAGGCAAGAAATATGACAGGAACACCTGTTACCCCTCTTCTGTTACAGAAATTTTAAGCAAAGTTGATTTTACTGGATTCGGAGTTCTCGTAAACTAAACCTACTCGAAAATAATGGACGACGTTTTGGCTTCTGTGATGAGGGAAGTAAACGACGTATGATAATCTTTGTAATCATAAACCGTGATCGCTAATGAAGGCCTTAATTAACATTGAAACCTAATCGTCGTCGTCGTACACTCCAGACACGTGCAGTAAAGTAAACTTCAAATACTGTTTTCTTTTAATGTGATCGTGAAAACGTGAAGAAATGTTTTGTAGATTTAAGAAGTTACAATCAACACACTATCTTGTAGAATATGATCCGTGAGGCCTAACGGAAACCTTCCATATAGATAAACACATTTTAAACAATTGGATATCAAACTCTGGACTACACCTGAATATCGATTAAGATTGATTAATCGTGAAATCACTTGGGCAAACGATAAATTAATGCTCAATTTCTGCCGGATCTCAGATCCGGTACCTATTTGGATTTAAATTTGTAAAGACGGAAACACTAAATTCTATCCTCAATAAAGTTTAAACTGCTATTTTCCAAAACTCAATTTTTACGTTAACAAAAATCCTGTATTTCATTTATTTATTTTTGTTTTAGAAATTAAATACTAAGACAAGTTATAACAAACCCACCAATCACGTCCTAAACGTTTTCTTGAATAACGTAGACAACATAAACATTTATTGTTTTAATACGATAAAAATAAAGCTCTTAAGAATTTCGTCCCACTAAGTTTTTATTAAGTTTCCAAATGGTAAAAGAATTTAGAGACTGTTGTGAACCTAGCTTAGATTTCTAGTATACAGACCAAAAAAAATAAAAAATCAGGATTGAAAGATATACTCTCTCTCATACACTCTCACACACACACACACACACACACACACACCTTGTTGCCCTCTTTCCATACTTCGTAGACCTGGTGGTTAGGGCGCTTGACTCGCAATCTGAATCCCCGTCACCAAACATGCTCGCCCTTTCAGCCGTGGGGTCATTTTGTGACGATCAATCTCACTATTCGTTGGTAAAAGAGTTGGCGGTGGGTGGTGTTGATTAGATGTCTTCCAGCTAGTCTATCACTGCTAAATTAGGGATGGCTAGTGCAAATAGCCCTCGAGTAGATTTCCAAACCAAATCATACATTGCACGAGCTAGGCATGATAAGAGGTTATCAAAAGGTCCAAGGCTCGTGCCGCGATTTACCACTGAACATCATTGGGGTGTTATAAGCGTGACGGTCAATCTCGTAATTCAATTAAGAGCAGGTGCAGCTATCTGGTTCCCCTTCCTTTTGTTCAGTAGTTAGAGTTAGTTACGCCTGAATCGTAGAGGTCTCTGATATTGCGATGTAATATTCTTTGTGATGTCTCGGTATCTAAACGGTGAATGAACGTTCAATATTAATATGTGAAACACTCCGTTTTACTTGTGACGTTACCCCACAAACAAACTTTTTGTTTGCATCGCCATTGTTAGGGAGAAATATACATATTATTTCTACGTCGTTATATTTTAATGTTGGTAAACCAAAACCTTAATTATTTATTGTTCTGGTTCTGCGTGTTATTGTAATGTATTATTATTATTATCTTCATTCTTTTTCCGTCTTGCGAGATCCCATAATTCATAGTTTTTGGGTGTATTTTTAGGGTTGCCTAGTTGCTGTTGATTTGGCCCACGCTGTAGGGAACGTTCGGTTGGAACTTCACAGATGGGGAGTAGATTTTGCCATGTGGTGTACTTACAAGGTAAGGTTACTTGTTGTTTTACCACTGATCTCAATGTTATTAGATTATGTGCATAAGTATGGAAACTTCAAATATATGATTTTAATGTGTTGTGTATATTATTTTTAAATGATTTTGAATATGAAAATCACCAATTCACGTGAAAACCATAGCCGATATAAAGTGCCGGTGGTACGGAGTGTATCAGAACTACATGTTGATATTGTTCGGCTTTTCATAGATAGTATGATATCATCGAGAATTTATGGAAAGGTATGTAACAGCCCTTTCTGACAGAAAATATTCATACATTCAAATCTTAAATACGGGGATATTCTTTGTACTTAATGACATTGGGGAACAAAGGAATAAGTATCAACTTGGGGTACCAGGACTACACGAAGAGAAACCTGCAACAAGCACCACAGCCGTGGTAAGCAAAGAGCAAATGTCTTGTAAGAACACAAAGGCCAGTGGCAACATAATGAAGACGGAACTCCGTCCAAACGATGCTAACCAGGGTATAGGTTCACCAAGATCAAGCAACCTGTTATACTTTAACCATCGCATACCTTCAGCAGCTGGAGAATGAAACTGGTGTTCATACTATTCCATACATCGTTCTCGTATACTATATGGAATTGTTAAGAATGCAGAGAAGTTTGGAATGCTTTAGACACGTCAGTCTTAAGACAGAGCCTTATGCAAAGAAAACTATGACAGGGCTATTGTCAAGATGCATAGTTGTCAGATAGAGCATGACCGCACGTGACACTGTGAACTGTAATCACGTGATGAGGCTCCAAAATCATTTTGATATAACGCACCCAACCTCTGTGCATTCTTCTACATTAGGTGATGTTTTTTTATGAAATAAGCCTTAAGGCCTTTAACACTAAAAACCGGGTTTCGATACCATTAGCAGGAACAGGGCAGGTAACCCATTGTGTAGTTTTGTGCTTTACAATAAACAAACGGAGAATCCATGAACTGAATTGATAACTTCGTAACTTCACGTTGAAAATGTTAACATTTGAAAGTGAAATACGACGTAGTGCTTTAATTAGTTTTGGATGGCAGAAACAAGCATAGCCAGTTTAGTGTATACATTTTTACAGTGAAAGATTCGTGTTTACAGTAAGTACAAACTTTAGGTTGTTGTGCTTCCAGTAAAAATATAAACTTTGTAAGAAGTGTTTCAACAGGGTAAGACGGATCTGAAGGGTTCATTTTTACACTGTCCGATTGGGAAGAATATGGAAGATAAACAGTGCTTTCAAACCTCTAGCTGAAAGTTGTTTGTTTAAACTTAGATGATGCCGACTTGTTGTCTCTTTTGTAGTCAGTAGTTCTGAATCGGATATGATACAATGCTACCTAATCTGTGCACTAACAAACTTCTTTCAGTGGGACTCCACAACTAGGGGTTGAGGGAAACCTGAGTTTTGGCCAGTGATAAACCCCTGTAGTGTCTACATATACAGTGGGACTTCACAACTAGGGGTTGAGGGAAACCTGAGTTTTGGCCAGTGATAAACCCCTGTAATGTCTACATATACAGTGGGACTCCACAACTAGGGGTTGAGGGAAACCTGAGTTTTGGCCAGTGATAAACCCCTATAGTGTCTACATATACAGTGGGACTTCACAACTAGGGGTTGAGGGAAATCTGAGTTGTGGCCAGTGATAAACCCCTGTAATGTCTACATATACAGTGGGATTTCACAACTAGGGGTTGAGGGAAACCTGAGTTTTGGCCAGTGGTAAACCCCTATAGTGTCTACATATACAGTGGGACTTCACAACTAGGGGTTGAGGGAAATCTTAGTTGTGGCCAGTGATAAACCCCTGTAATGTCTACATATACAGTGGGATTTCACAACTAGGGGTTGAGGGAAACCTGAGTTTTGGCCAGTGGTAAACCCCTGTAGTGTCTACATATACAGTGGGACTCCACAATTAGGGGTTGAGGGAAACCTGAGTTTTGGCCAGTGGTAAACCCCTGTAGTGTCTACATATACAGTGGGACTCCA